GTCTTCAGTTCTTTAATTGAAATGTGCATTGCTAACAGCGGAGCTATCTCAGCCGATAGGCTGCTTGTTTAATGATATCTTCAGTTCCTTAATTGAAATGGTTTGACTGTTGTGTTCTCTTGCTTAGCAATATTAGATTTCATTTCAACCTGCAAGGCAGCCTGCAAAGTGAGTACTTTGTTTTCAACAATATTCATAATACAAGGCTCACCTGGGACTTTCAAATACTTCAGAAGACAAACTGAAACAATTTCACTACAGGAATGGACCAGTTCATATTTTGCATAACTAGTCTGAGATTTGAATTTGGAATATGGAAAATTGTTAATTAACTATTAGTATGCAAATTAGTCTTTGTTCTAATTATGTTCTTAAATCTGATTTTTGAAAGGAGTGACACGTGATTTAGTGAACCTAAATGGCTTCAAATTTATAACCATAACTGCAAACATGCATCTCCTCAATTTGGTCCTGGGATTTGGCTGACTTGTTCAATTTATGAATTTGACATGAAATGACCAAAACTTTTTGAATGAACATGTTTTACAGGATCAGCAATTAGGGTTTGGAAATAATTTCATTATCTCATATTATTTTATTTAACATGACATGAATTATTGTATGGGTGTATTGGGTAGATGTATGCAGTCTCTACCTCCAAAAACCAATTTTCCGACCGATTGATTTAATTTCAAGGAAAATCATTCTGTGTTTACATTGTGACCATCCAGGTTTCTAATGTGGGTTGGTGGACAATTTCAAATTTGATGAGACTCATTTTTAATGAGTGTTACTTTTCTCAGGATTTATTTCATAAAGTTTCATAAAATTGCTCACATATCTTCGAAAATATATATAGAATAATGCTAGAATAATAAAAAAAATGAGGATTGATAGAGAATACTGTGCCAAATTATCAATAAATGTTTGTGTTTTTCTGTAATACAAATAGATTGAAAATGAATAGTGCTTTGTAACCAACTCTACTGGTCTTTTCAGCAGAAACATGTCATACACTCTGACCAAAATACAAAGATCAATTTTAATTAATAATTTAATTAGTCCTCGTTCGGACGAAGTCAGAAAACGGGGACTTATAATTTGGTCTCTGTCTGTGCGTTCGTCCATACGTGCGTACGTCTGCCCGGAATCATATTTCAAAATCCTTTGGACTGATTCCGTTCATTCTTTGCATGTGCTTAGTACTTTATGTGGGACATATGCACATGCTGTGTTTAGCGATTCGATTCAAAATGGCCGACTTGTAGCCATCTTTTTTGAAAATGTTGTATTTTGGACATGCTTTGTCAGTTTTCATTCAAACTTTGTACATAGGTTATACATGTTAGGATACATGTGCATGACAATTTCTTTTGCAGTTGGATCAAAGATGGCTGAATGGCAGGCATCTTGTTGTTGTTTTTAAATGGACATGCTTTGTCAGTTTTCATTCAAATTTGGCACATACTTTATACATGTTAGAATACATGTAAATGACAATTTGTTTCAAAATCGGATCAAGGATGGCCGATTGACAGCCATCTGAATTTTGGCCTTACCGGTACTACTATATTTCCAAGATTTATGTACCATTTTCAAATGTATTTTGCACATACATCATACATGATGTAAATAAACAATATGTTGTATACGCCACTTCTTGAGACTCATGCTCGCGACAGCCCCTCCACTTTAATATGACGAGCACAAAGAGAACTTTTAAAAATTTAATGGGGACTGTGTCATTTTCAATGACTTGTTTATTTTAATTTGTTTTATTGCAGGCAGAATGAACTGGCACCTTATTGTGGTGGGATTTCTTGTCCATTTGGTACTTTTCTATTCCATATTTGATATCTACTTCACATCTCCATTGGTGCATGGCATGGCACCACAGATATCATCTCTTGCACCACCCGCCAAGAGACTGGTATTGTTTGTTGCTGATGGGCTCAGAGCAGATAAATTTTATCAAGTTTATGAAGATGGTGAGACAAAGTCACCATACCTTAGGTATGAACAGTCATAGCATGGATAAAGTATATTTGTGCCAAATAAACACAAATTCTCAACTTTCTGAAAATATTTTTTGTTAATTTAACAGTTGGAATTTTGTGACTATAAATAATATGACAAACCACTGTTTCTGTCATAATG